TTCAGAAGCTCGGGCTAGAGTCATAGGTCTAGAGCCCCACTTTTTCCTTTTTGAAGAAAAGGGGACACGTTCTTAAAGATAATTATTATTTGCTGTTGGAGGGATTTTCATGAAAAAAATTCAAGAAACATTGTCTCATGTGATCTTACCAGATAAGTGCCAATTACTAAGACTTGCTGGCTGCTGGATTTATCATCTCAGCCTAATTTTCTTCCTGAGATACATGAATCTTGCTTTTTCATCATTACCACTCTGGCATAATCCAGTGGAAATACAATATGAACCACATAGCTAATTTAAAATTTTCTTTTTTTAATTTTGTTTTTTGAGACAGGGTCTCACATTGTTGTCCAGGCTGGAGTGCAGTGGTGCAATTATAACTCACTGCAGCCTCGACCTCCTGGGCTCAAGCAGTCCTCCTGCATCAGCCTCCTGAGTAGCTAGGACTATAGGCTTACATCATCACGCTCAGCTAATTTTTAAAAATTTTTTTAGAGCTAGGGTCTCACTCTCTCGCCCAGGCTGGTCTTGGACTTCTGGCCTCAAGTGATCCTCCTGCCTCAACCTCTCAAAACTGTTGAGATTATAGATGTGAGCTACCATTCCCAGCCTAATTTAAAATTTTCTAGTAGCTTCACTAAATATTAAAAAGAAGTAGGTGAGTCTGGGTGCAGTGGCTCAGGTCTGTAATCCCAGCACTTTGGGAGGCTGAGGTAGGCAGATCACTTGAGGTCAGGAGTTCGAGACCAGCCTGGCCAACATGGTGAAACTCTGTCTCTACTAACAATACAGAAATTAGCCGGGCATGGTGGCACACACCTGCAATCTCCGCTACTCAGGAGGCTGAGGCAGGAGAATCGCTTGAACCTGGGAGGCAGAGGTTGCAGTGAGCCAAGATCGGGCCACTTTACTCCAGGCTAGGTGACAACATGAGACTGTCCTTAAAAAAAAAAAAAAAAAGGTCGGGGGGCAAATCAAAGAAACAGGTGAAATTAATGTTTAACCCAGTGTATCCAAATTATTTCAACATATAATCAGTATTAAAATGATGAATTTTTTTTTTTCCACCTCACACATTAAAGTGATTCTCCTGCCTCAGCATCCTGAATAGCTGGGACTACAGGCGCCTGCCACTAAGCCTGGCTAATTTTGAGTAGAGATGGGATTTCACCAGGTTGGCCAGGCTGGTCTCGAACTCCTGACCTCAGTTGATCCACCCACCTCGGCCTCCCAAAGTGCTGGGATTACAGGCGTGAGCTACCATGTCCAGCCCTAAACTGACATTTTAATATTTAAAATTAAATTTAAGTCATATGATACTAAACTAAAATACAGTTGTCCCTTGTTATAGATTGGGGATTAGTTCTAAGATCCCCAAATATACCATAATTTGCATACTCGAGTCCCACAGTTGGCTCTTCAGAACCTGCATTTATGAAAAGTGGCTCTCCATATAGGTGGGTTTTAAATTCTGCAAATACTGTATTTTGGATCTGTGTTTGATTAAAAAAAAATCTGCATGTAAGTGGACCCATGCAGTTCAAACCCATGTTGTTCAAGGGTCAGCTGTAGTTGTGTATTAAAACATTGTCCAAAACCGAAAAGCTTCTATCCAAACTAGAGGAGAGTGAGCCAGATGAATGTGAGTGGAAACCAGATGGAGTTTCAGGTCTTTCAGGGCACCCTTGGTAGCTGCCATGAGGTGAATGGTGACAGCGGTGCATGGGAGGCACAAGAAGGGCAGCCAAAGCTATACCTGGGGAGGGTGTGGGAAGTAAGAGGGGAGCATTCTGTTAGGGGCAGAGAAGAATCCCACTCACAAGAGATGACCAGGAGTAAACCTGCCTGCCTGCCAAAAGTAGGCAAGATTTGATGGGTCAAAGCACAAGACCATTTCTACTCAAAGCACAGCAAACAGTATTAGCATCAACATAATAGTGCTGGTTCCCCAGCCCATGCCCACGGGAGATGTGCTGTGATGGGTCTAGATGGTGCCTGTGTGCACGGCCTTGTAGCTGATGATCACGAGGCCCAGGGCTCAGTACCCTCTGTAGCAAGCAGCAAAGGAGCACCCTCCCTCCCTGAGAAGTTAGTGGTGCCAAGAGACATGCTATGGTCACCTTGACCTTCTTAGCCACCTGCTTGAGCAGCTGTGGAAACTGCTTAGTAACTAATTCTTTTACCCAAATGTTTCTTCAAGATCTCATTACATCTTGCAGTAATCATTGACACCAGTTGTCACTGTGTGGTTAACACAGATCTTGAACTGGCCAATTACCAGGCTAATGGAGAATTTTTTTTTTTTAGTCGAATGGGATACTGCAGTTGTTAGACCTTTTTGGGTAGAGGAGGGGAGAGTATGAGTCTTAGTTTATTTTTAATTGTCCAACAGATTCCAGGTTCTTAATTAAAATATTGAAACTTCGTGACTTTTAGGACAAAATAATTCATTTTATAAATGATTAAGACCTCTATGGTAGAAAGCCCTGGAGCTCTGCTTATCAGAGAACACTCTGGATAAGATGTGACATGCGGTTTTTTTGTGTCATCTTTACGCTATAAACTTCCTCTGCTAATCTAAGTATTCTTTGTTCACGTGAGACTGCAAATTTAAGCTGCTTCTTCCAGCAAGTTTTCCACCATATGCTAGAACTTAAATAGAAGTGTGATTTTTGTAAATTTCTCTATGTGTGAAAAATGCAGTTTTGAAATTGTAATATGTTTGAGCATGTTAGAATTTGTTCTGTGTGGGGAGACTGTCCATTCTTTTTTTTTTTTTTTTTGAGACGGAGTCTTGCTCTGTAGCCCAGGCTGGAGTGCAGTGGCCGGATCTCAGCTCACTGCAAGCTCCGCCTCCCGGGTTTGCGCCATTCTCCTGCCTCAGCCTCCGGAGTAGCTGGGACTACAGGCGCCCGCCACCTCGCCCGGCTAGTTTTTTGTATTTTTAGTAGAGACGGGGTTTCACCGTGTTAGCCAGGATGGTCTCGATCTCCTGACCTCGTGATCCGCCCGTCTCGGCCTCCCAAAGTGCTGGGATTACAGGCTTGAGCCACCACGCCCGGCCTGTCCATTCTTATTAATGCAGTTAAACAGGTTTTTGAATGGCCCCTTTTAACTTTGGGGTCAGGCTGTCACTTCTTGTTCCTCTGCTCTAATAAATGGCGATGGTGACTTTGGCAGGCTATCAAATGAATTTCCTTACTGGCTGCTTTTCCTTCTCTTCTTTTAACTGTGACTGTCTGCCAAGATCAGTTGCCTCTGAGAGAGTGGTGTTTTGGTCCTGCTAATTCACATCCTCTCATTGGTCTGTTTCTTCTGACAGCTTTGGGATCTGGACTTATATGCCATGCCCTTTAAACAAAGTTCTTAAAAATCTTTAACTAATTCTGTACTTAGAGAAAAGATGCAAAAATAGAACAGGGAGTTCCATAATTACCTGCCTTTAGCCAGTTTCCCCCGTTGTTAACATCTTACATAACCAATTGTTAGGTGGTTTTGTACAAAATAAGAAATTAATATTACTGTTGGGTGTGGTGGCTCACACCTGTAATCCCAGCACTTTAGGAGGCTGAGGCCAGGTGGACCGCTTGAGGTCAGGAGTTCGAGACCATCCTGGCCAACATGATGAAACCCTTATCTACTAAAAATACAGAAAAATTAGCCAGACGTGGGGGTGCATGGCTGTAATCCCAGCTACTCGGGAGGCTGAGGCAGGAGAATCACTTAAGGTTGCAGTGAGCCGAGATGCACCACTGCACTCCAGCCTGGGTGACAGAGCAAGAATCTGTCTCTCAAAAAAAAAAGAAAGAAAGAAAGAAAGAAAGAAAGAAAGACAAAAGAAAAAGAAATTAACATTGGTACAGTCCTTTTCACTAAATTGCAGACCTCATTTGAATTGTCTGAGTGTTTCCACTAGTGCCTGTTTTTGTTTCAGGATCCAGTCTGGGATCCCATATCGCAACGGGTTGGTTTTTTCTGTTTCCTTCAGCCTATGACAAATCCTCTGTCTTTCCTTGTCCTTTATAACCTTGACACTTCTGAAGATACTTCTCAGGCATTTTGTAGAAAATCACTCAGTTTTGTCTGTTTTCTTGTTATTGGAATAGGTCATGTCTTTTGACAACAATACCATAGAAATAGGTCCTTCTCAGCACTTCTTATCAGGGGGTTCATAGGATGTCAGTGTGTCTCCTACTGGTCACATTAACTGTGATCATTTGGTTAAAGTAGTGTCTGCTGTGTTTCTCCACTGAAAAGTTACTATCTCTTCCTTTGTAATTAGTAAATAAATAACCTTGGGGGAAGATCATTTGTTACTATATAAATTTATCCTCAAACTTTTGCTCAAGAATTTTAGCCGCCATCGGTGGATCTTGCGTGCAACAATTACTCTGGTGTTCAAATGGTTATTTTCTGTTTCCTTCATTCATTTTTCATTATTAGTGGAATTCTCCTATAAAGAAGAGCTGACTGTTCTCATTAATATTATTATGGAGTCATGGATATTTATCTTATTCTGTGTACTGTCATTGTTTATTTTGTTGCTCAAATTGTTCCAGCTTTGGCTACTAGGAGGGCTTCCGCTTGGCTCCTGGGTCCTTTGGACAAACCCCCATCCTTTTGTGAGCACTTCTTTACTTCATTTATTTATTTTTTTTGAGACAGAGTTTCACTCTTGTCGCCCAGGCTGGAGTGCAATGGCGAAATCTCAGCTCACTGCAACCTGCACCTCCTGGGTTCAAGCGGTTCTGCTGCCTCAGCCTCGCAGATAGCTGGAATTACAGGCGTGTGCCACCATGCCAGGCTAATTTTTGTATTTTTAGTAGAGATGGGGTTTCACTATGTTGGCCAGGCTGGTCTCGAGCTCGTGACCTCAGGTGATTCGCCCACCTTGGCCTCCCAAAGTGCTGGGATTACAGGTGTGAGCCACCATGCCCGGCCCACTTCTTTACTTCTGATACAAGGTATTTCAGGCTTATCTTGTACTTTCTTTGCCCCAGCTCTGGAATCAACCTCTTCTCCAAGGGCCCTGGTTTCTTTTACTGGAGAATGGCATTTAGAAACCAAGATCTACATGCTAGGTATGCTCTTTGGTATCAGGATGTCATAACTTCTAGGTCTTCTCAGTAGATAGAACTAGGAAGTATATTATATCCACACATATGCATATATCTGTATTTCTCTATCCATCCTCTCTCTCTCCCTCTGTGTGTGTGTGTGTGTATGTATCAAAAACCATAAGTTTATATTCATTCTCTCTGATTTCAATTTAACATTACAGAGTTTATTTTAGCCTTCTCTTATTAGTATATAACTTCTTACTGCAACAGTGAGAGTCCTGGCTATAATTATCTATGATGTATTTACTACAAAGAAGTAAATAAGTTAGTAGTTTCAGAGTTGCTAACCTATACCTCCTTAAGAAACACATTTACTACCAGATTTACAGCATTTATGTACAATTCTTTTTGCCTTTAGTTTTACAGCATCCAGTCAAGATACTGTTTTCCAGTTACTTAGGTTAGTTCTTTCTTCCTATCCCATTCACCATGGTGTTAACCCATTTGCAATAGTTAGGGTTATTTGTACATGCTGTATTCCACTTTGGGTTTGCCACATCTCGCTTGGTTTTAACTAATGGTTTAATTTTGGAGTGTGTGAAGGGTGTGTGATACATCACTGTGGCCCTAGGAGTCAGATACAAAAAGACCTACTCAGTGCCAGGCCTCCTCAGCCCTGCTTTCCCGTTCCCATTCCCCTTTTCCCCAGCCACCCCATAAGTTATCAGTCTGTTTAATTTCTGGCTTATTTGTCCTGTATTTCTTTTGTTTTGTGCCATTTTAAACTCATCAGGTTTGTATGAAAAATTATTGACTCTCGCAGTAGGGACATACTCACTCCCACCTCATCAGCCACTCCTTACCTGAGGGAGAGAGAACCACACCACTGAAAGGTGAGGGTCGTGGGATAAAACCAGAAACTTTATGGGTTTAGCACCTCAATATTTTTATATCTTAGCTACCTGTATATAATTTGGTAACATTTGATGTTTAACTGATTTTTTTTTAAAGTTTACTTATTTATTTATTTTGGAGACAGAGTCTCACTCTGTCGCCCAGGCTGGAGTGCAGTGGCACGATCTTGGGATCTCAGCTCACAGCAACCTCTGCCTCCTGGGTTCACATGATTCTCATGCCTCAGCCTCCCAAGTAGCTGGGATTACAGGTGCCCACCACAACACACCCAGCTAATTTTTATATTTTTAGTAGAGACAGGGTTTCACTGTGTTGGCCAGGCCGGTCTTAAACTTCTGAGCTCAGGCAATCCACTCACCTTGGCCTCCCAAAGTGCTAGGATTACAGGCATGAGCCACTGCACCTGGCCTAAAGTTTAACTGATGTTTTATTTAGCATGTGCTAATAAAGCAATAGGGGATAGGAAAGAATGTACCTTTTTCTGCAGTATCTTATTCACCCTCCTTTAACACTAAATACTTTATAATCACACAAATATTTTACTCCATGAAAAAAAATGAAAGCTTCACACATAAGGATAAGGTCCCTGTTGATGTTTGTTCTCCAACATCAGACCACTTTTATTATCCTTTTAGATTCTTTGTACATTTCTAAACATATGTGCCCGTAGGAGGGGAAATATATATATATAAAACTAATTTTTAAGTGTGAGTTCTTTTTTTCCTTTTTTTTTTTTTTTTGGTTAACATCAAAGTTCTACTGTAACTTTTTCAGCTTCTGTTTCTGCTGTATAGTCCTGCCTCATTGTTTTTAACATTTACAGAGTGTTTCTTGGTGAATGTCCTTGCGTGTGGCTCCAACATACATGTGGATGCTCAGCAGTGGAAATCCCAGCTGTGTCCATTCTTCTTCTAGTCAGTACAGCAGCTGCTCTCCTGAGTGGCTGTGCCGTTTTGCCATTTTCCACCAGCATCACATCAAATACTCATTTCTCTACTGTTCAATACCTGATGTTTCCTATGTCTTAAATTCTGGGCAATTTGAGGGTCAAAAATAGTCTTTTGTTTTAATTTGCTTTCTTTCGGGATAGTGAGGTTGAGTTTATTTCCAGTAATTATTAGCCATGTATACACATTTCCTTTTCTGTGGTTTGCCCATTTTAACAATTTTTCATTTCTTGTTGATGTGTATAAGACTTTATATATGCTAGATTTGTTCATTTAATAAATATTTTTTGATCTCTTAACTATACATCCCGGCACTTCTGTAGGTCCTGGGATACATCTAGCATGAAACAAAATCTCTAATTTCACAGAAATTACCATCAGAAGAGGAAATTGGGCCGAGCGTGGTGACTCACACCTGTAATTCTGGCACTTTGGGAGGCAGAGGCGGGCAGATCACTTGCGGTCAGGAGTTCGAGACCAGCCTGGCCAACATGGTGAAACCCTGTCTCTACTAAAAATACAAAAATTAGCTGAGTGTGGTGGTGCACGCCTGTAATTGCAGCTACTCGGGAGGCTGAGGCAGGAGAATTGCTTGAGCCCACGACGAGACAGTGGTTGCAGTGAGCCGAGATTGCACCACTGCACTCCAACCTGGGCCACAGAGCGAGACTCCATCTCAAAAAAAAAAGAGAACATTGGGCCAAAGGAAATCTAAGTAAATGAATGAGATTATGCAAATGTTAATAAGTGCTATCAAAAATAGGGTAACGGTAAAGAGAGTACCTGAATGGGTCGGGAGCCCAGTTTCCCTTTGTAAACTCTGTCCCCTGTATATTAGGTGTTAGGTGGGGTGGTCAGGGAAGGCTTCTCAGAGAAAGTAGGAGCTGAGATGAGTAATAAGAAGGAACCAGCCACAAGAAGTGTCCAGACAGAGAATATAGTGTGCCTCAGCCTGTGATCAAGGGGGACAAGTCAGACCATCATAGGTGGACACAGGGGACTCCTCAACACAAGTGATTGTCAGAGGCGTTAGAGACCTCCTCTCAGGAGCAGGCTTGACATCTGAGAGGCTGAGGTCGGTTTCAGGGGGAGAGGTTCCTCAACTCCTCTTCCTTCCCTCTCTAGGCTAGGTTACCAGAAGGAGCTTTGCTCCTGGGGTTTGTGCTTCAAGACTTGATCGTTGGGTTTTGTGGTTGTTTTAAGGCACAGGCCTTTTCTTTAATAAAGGAAAATTTTCTGTTTCAGATTACCTAGGAACAGTACGATTTGGGGTTATCACAAATAAACATCTTGCGAAACTGGTATCCTTAGTACACTCTGGAAGTGTGTATTTACATAGACATTTCAACACATCACTTGTAAGTATTTTGAAATCACGTTTATATTAGCGCAGTGGTTCTTAACCTTGTTTAGGTCACGGACTCCTTTGAGAATTGGATAAAATCTATGGACACTCTCTAGAAAAGCGCACATGATTTTATATATGAATGGAGAGTTCTTCCAGCCCCACCCGAGAGCCCAGGCCCCAGATTAAGAACCCCCCATGCATTAGAGGGCTCTTGAAATTAATGTGCAGAAATTCTTTATTTGTATTCTTAGATTTTGGTACAGACTTGAAAGTTTTTCTTCCTGGATAAAATTACAGAGTTACTCTCTTGGAGAATTGTTACTCTGAGCCTGTGTTTTCAGAAGCTAGGCTTCCACTAAGTGATGTTCTCTGTTTATCTTTTTCTTTTATGATGAGTAGTAATGTGACATGCTTTTCTCCTTAGCTGATGTAAGGGGTTTTTGAAGTTCTTGTCAAGTCACAGTGAGAAGTTGATGACTTCTCATCCCAGAGAGCCTCAGTTTTCCATTGTCGCCTTTGTTCCCCAATTTCATTTGCTTTCTGTGGAGCAGCCTGAACTCAGCTGCTTCTGAGCATTGACCTGTGTCCTGCTCAGTCCTGTGCTTCTACTCTATTGCTGCTTCCTCAGTCACATCACTGAGCTGACTTTCCTGAAGTAGTCTGTCTCTCTTGCATCATTGTCAGTAACTTACATGTCATATACAGATCAATTTCCCTGCACCCAGCGTACCCAGCCTTTAAAACCTGTGCCCCCCTTGGCACAATGTCTGAGTCTTGTGCCTTCGGAGGGACTGTTGGGCCCATTCCAAGGGTGCCCCCTTGCTTGCCAGTCGCCCTGGCTTCTGCATATCTTCGTAGCCCAGATGTTGTGCTTTACTTCTTGCAGTTTATATTCCAAAAGTCAAATGTATTTTTGTGTTTTCCAAATAGAAATGTTTGAGTGTAGTTTGAGTATGGTTTTTCAAACTCCCACTGTTCCACCTTGACAATCACTGCTGTAGTTGTTTCTCTGCTGCCCACCTACGCTCCTTGTGCCTCTGCCTAAGCTGCTTTGACATCATCTACTTTTGCTATCTGTCATTTTCCTACATCCTTCATTTTTAGCATGTTACACAGCCTCCATATATTTTTTTATAGTAAAGGGCACTGAGAAAGAAATTAAAAGTAGATGGGGAAAAAAAGGGAGGACTGTGAGATGGAAAAATATATCAGGTTTACTGCTTCGATTTGGTAGTGTTTAAGGTTGGTTGGTTTGTGTAGCAGTAGAATTCCTTTTATCAAATGCAAGAATACTGGAATACCATTATTTTTAAAAACACAAGCAGTGGTTATCTTCGTTATGAGTCAATTTAAATCTTTGTTTTGAGGAGTTTGAAATATCTCATTTTGTAAAACCCTCTGAAGCACCCTTTTGGTAGTTCTGTTTGAAGCCAGTGATTTATATTGTTAGAATTTCAAAACTAATTTTATGTTCACATACATTGGTTGTTTATAGCAAAACAAAGCAAAAAATCTAAGTGTTTCTTTTGTTTATTTGTGCACATAAAATATGATCCGTGGCCTTGTGCAAGTTTAGGTCATTTTTGATTGATGAAGACATGTGTTGAGTTCCTGCTCTGTGCCTGGTGTTGGTCTAGTCCCAGAGGATACAAGTGAACAGCACAGACAGCCTGTGCCGCACAGAGGCTCCATTCTGCCCTTGGGGGGCAGCATTTGAAGGACCAAGGTCAAAATCGAAGTGATCCTTGACTCCATAATTTCTGTTCCCTTAAATATGTCTTGGTCCTTTTATAAATACCCAGTGACGTTTAATACCTGTCCTTGGACAGGGTGATAGAGGTTGTTACCGCCACCAGCTGGCAGGGAGAATTATTTGTTGATAGGTGGATCTGTCTCAAGACAGAAAGATGAATCACACAATATGGAAGTCACCTCCTGCAACCACTTTTGTTTTTTCAACCACTCGTGAGGAAATGCTGTCTCTGGAGAAGCAGGTGTTGGCTGCACAGCGGGGCCAGGCCCCACTCCGAGCCTGGGTTTTCTCACCTGCAGTGGTGGGGTTGGGACAGCACTGATGTGCTTTGAGCTTGCCCTACCTCACCGAGCTCTCCTTTTTCCTCTGTGCCTTTGTCCTTCACAGGTCTTCCCTAGGGAGGTCCTGAACTACACAGCTGAGAACATCTGTAAGTGGGCCTTAGAAAACCAGGAGACGCTCTTTCGGTGGCTGCAGCCACACGGAGGCAAGAGTCTCTTGCTGAATAACGAGCTGAAGAAAGGACCAGCACTGTTTCTGTTCATACCTTTTAATCCCCTGGCCGAAAGTCATCCTTTAATAGACGAGGTAAGAGCTGTGATAGAAAAGCACCTCATGAGGAGTCGGGAAGCCTCATCTACCTGGCCCCTCTCATCCCGCACTCAGTCGTTTACTCTGGCAGCTATGGCTCTGAGCATTGCTCTTTGCCCCTCCATATGGGCAGGAGAGAGCCCGTGTCTAGGACAGGGATTGCCGCAGCCTCTGTGGCCGTGTTCATTGACAGCTGTTAGTGTCTGGAGTGAGTGGGAAGAGGCAGGGAAGCCATACTGTGCCCCTCTAGAGAAGGACCAAATGGCCTCTTCTGATGTGACTGCTGTTGAGCCTCAAGTTTGGGAGGTGAAACAGGGAGTGGTAGGAACACAGGCCGAGCTTAGTGAGGCCTAGGAGGTGCCATTGTCTTGGGGTTTGGCCAGACTGCCAGCCCTGGCCATCCTCAGGACAGCAGAGGAGAGCAAGCAGCAGCAGTGATGTTGGGACACCTTGTTTCTCTGAACCTTCCTTGTCGTGCAGAAGCCAGAGTGGTTTTCAGAGGCAGCGCCATTGGAGCCTGCTGTTCCTGCCTGTCTTCGGCTTCATCTGGTGCGCCCTCTCTGGGTGTGAGTTTATTTTCTACACGGAGCATTTGGAGGCACTTAGAGACAGCAGGCATAGTATGCAGAGCGAGCCTGGGGTGGCAAAATTGCATTTACTGAGGGTTTTATTTTTTCTCTCCCTCAAGGATCCCTTAATTGGCCAAAACCAATTTCAGACAGCGAGCGTACCACTGGCCAGCGAAGCAGATGCTGCCTGTCCCTGAGGCCCTCAGTGCTGGCCTGGCCCCCTGCCTGGAGGGACGGGGAGGCAGGACTTCTCGCCCAGCTGGATCCCTCCCTTTGCTGTGCTGGAGTCTTTTTGTTCAAGTTAGGATTCCCCCGGGGAGTATTCTGAATGAATGCTGCTCTTTGGCTTAGAGGAAGAAAGAAGAAAGAAATGAAATAGCTTTGTTTCTTCCCCTCTAATTAGGGAGGACTCAAAGTAATAAAACTATTTCTTTAGAAAATTTTCACTACATGGATCTTTTGTGAACTGAGACACCATTTCAAATGACTAGGCCTTTACTGTATCTAATATTAATAGCCTTAAAGCTCGTTGTAGGAAAGGAAGGTTTTCAATCAAGGTGGTTTGGCTGTGGTTGTGGATTTGGAGAGTTCTCTCCTGTCTGGTTTGGGTGTGTAGTGGTCCTGGCGGGGTTGTCTACCCAGAGGGTTGTGGCTGGATTTAGGCACCTGGTGGGAAGACTCTTATTTTCTCGCCTGTTGTTTCTGAATGAGTGTCTCCTCCAGCAGTCCGCAAATCCTCTACCTACCAACAGGCCTCCTTTTTATCATGGTTTTGCCTGTGACTCCTTTCTTTGGGGCTCCCATTGTCTCTGTGCGGTAAGTGCATTCCCTTAACCTCAGCATGTGGGTGAGATAACCGAACACCAGGCGGCATCTCACCGTATTATGAACTACTAGACAAGCAAAGTGCCTGTCCAGCACATTTCCCTTTTTGTTTCAGGTCAGTTTGGCAAATGTTTACTGAGCACTGCGATGGGAAGCTCCAGGGGAGAAAGGGTGGATGCAACACCATCTTGTCCTGTGGTCTTAGAGGCTTGTCCAGTATAGGGAGTGAAAGCCTGCCTATAATTCACAGTAGAGGACAATCAGGCCGAGGGTCAGGAGGAACCGAAGGAGGGAGGGTGCCATCTCAGAAAGCGGGGTCCTGGACAGGGGAGGGGTTAGCAGAGGCTTTGGATGGGTGAAGTATTCTAGACAGTCTTGTAGGGGCAGCCAGGATCTTCATGGGTTGAGAAAAACTTATGGGAAGGAGGACCCTGAGCAGAGGCATGAGGGATGGGAGTTGCCGCAGGTTTGGGTGTTAGGAAGGAGGCTGGAGTTTGTGGTCTGCAGGAAGGGCTAACTGGGGAGAGATCTTGAAAAAGCCTTTGGAGGAGAGGGCCTTGCAGAATTCTCTGAGGATTTCAAGATTAATCATAGTCATCCAAGTCTTTGTCTTCTCTTTTTTTTTTTTTTTTGAGTTAAGGTCTGCCTTTGTTGCCCAGGTTGGAGTACAGTGGCACGATCTCAGCTCACTGCCTCCTGAGCTCAAGTGATCCTCCCACCTCAGCCTCCCAAGTAGCTGGGACTACAGGTGCACGCCTCTACGCCTGGCTAATTTTTGTATTTTTTTGTAGAGATGGAGTTTCGCCATGTTACCCAGGCAGGTTTCAAAAGCCCTGGGCTCAAGCGATTGGCCTTCCTTGGCCTCCTAAAGTGTTGGGATTACAGGCATGAGCCACTGCCCTCGGCCCATACAAGTCTTACTGACAGTGAAGAGATGCAGCCAGAGCTGTGCATTATCATTATGAAAGTTTTTCTGGCAGCAGGGTTCCAGAAAACTGCGAAGCAGTAAGAACCTGAACTTGGGTGGTAGAGGTGGAGGATGGAAAGTAGGGTCTATGATCCGGGAAATTGTGACACAGTGACTAGAGATGAAGAAGCCTTTGGGCATTCAGGTAAGGTGGGAAGGATGAACGCTGTACTTATGCAAGATGAGTTGTAAATTCATTAGCTTGTTGACCGTGAAAGAGTTAGGTGGCTTTATTTTTCCATTAGTACCTTAGGCCTTATATTGGGCAGAAAGTTGAGGATGCTTCCATTGTTGAGAAGAGAGAGGTCATCTTAGAGTGAGTGGAATAAAGTTGCGGGCATACCAAGCACCAACATTCTAGATAATTGTGCTGTGGTGCGTGTAGGATGCCAGTCAGGAGTGACCATATGGTGGCCGTACCAAGCCCATACTGGGTAGCTGCTTCTGCACACATGCATACCTGCATGCATACCCAGACACATGCCTGTGTGTACACACACACGCAAAAGCACAGATCCTGACACCGATGTAAGGCCACTGACACCCCGGTGTCTCTAGAGAGTTCTAGAGAAGTTATAAGACATTGCAGTGTGTATTACACAACTCGTTAATCAAAGGAAATGCTTACCTCACCCAGCAAAGAGTCTTCGTGACTTGTTTTCTATTTTAAAAGCATTTATTTGAGGCATTCACATCGTCTGAATCTTGTAAGCAAAGGCGCGGTTAGCATGTTCAGACTCACAGATTTCCCTGATTAAAGAAAATGGAAGGAACCATCTACTCTGCGAACAGTTAAAGTTATTTGCCAAGATTTCCTTAATTATTCACATGAAATTAAATGATATCAAGTGATACACATAATGTGACATAACTTGAGTTGTGTTTTCAAAACTGCCTGTTATGTAAAAAGGAATAGAAACATAAATACCCCTTCATAGGAGAAAAATGATAACGCCTAACTCTTTAGGAGCATTGCTGGCCAGGCACGGTGGCTCACGCCTGTAATCCCAGCACTTTGGAAGGCTGAGGCGGGCAGATCACATCACCTGATACCAGGAGTTCAAGACCAGCCTGGCCAGCATAGTGAACCCTCGTCTCTACTGAAAATACAAAAATTAGCCGGACATGGTGGTGTGCGCCTGTAGTCTTAGCTACTTGGGAGGCTGAGGCAGGAGACTCGCTTGAATCTGGGAGGCAGAGGTCGCAGTGAGTCAAGATCGTGCCACTGCCCTGTAGCCTGTGCAACAAGAGCAAAACTCCGTCTCAAAAAAAGCATTACTGGTTGGGTGTGGTGGCTCACGCTTATAATCCCAGCAGGATTACAAGCCCTGGGAGGCCGAGGCAGGTGGATCACCTGAGATGAGGAGTTCAAGACCAGCCTGGCCAACATGGTGAAATCCCGTCTCTCCTAAAAGTACAAAAAAATTAGCCAGGCGAAATAAAAATAGAAAGAGTTAGCTGGGCGTGGCGATGCACGCCTGTAATCCCAGCTACTTGGGAGGCTAAGGCAGGAGAATTGCTTGAACCCAGAAGGCGGAGGTTGCAGTGAGCTGAGATCATGCCATTGCACTCCGGCTTGGGCGACAAGAGTGAAACTCCATCTCAAAAAAAGAAAAAAAAAGCATTGCTGTAGACCGAATACTTTCTTCAATTAAAAATATTCTTTATGTGGCTGCTTTGTTTATGAGATACTGAAGATAAAAGAAATGAAGAAAGACTTTTCAAGGAATTTTCTTCTCTACAATATAATTAATGATCTCCTACTTGGACTTCTGTAAAAGATTACAGTAAATCTTGAAGTCTTATAGAGGTTTTGGAGGGAGTGGGTGGGAGTAGTTGTCTATTACTGCGTCTTTGAATATTAAGCAGTACCAGGATGGGACCAGAGGGCATCTGGGCTCTTCATGGATTATATAGGCTTGACCTTGTTAGTGCTGCATGCTGTCAGAGCCTCATCCAAAAACCACTGAGATGTTTTTGTGCAGGGGAAATAAAATTTCAAGCACTGGCCTGTCATCTAAAGTGACTTCTTTTCTTTACCCAGTAGTTTTCTGGTGGGTTATAAAGTGACTTTTTTTATGCCAAGAACTATTGGAACAATTTATTCTTCTGTACAAATATGTATGTTTTGAATTAACTACAAATATTACATGTTATAAAACATTTTTATTTTTATAAAACTTGTTTTTTTTAAATTGGAAATTACACTCATTAAATTGTTTTACACACACACAGCGAAACAAAATCCTGAGTGACAGCACCCCGTAACTAACTGTGGTGAGATTTGATTCAAGTTGACACACTCTTCTGTTTTAGAGAGTAAATGCCTTTGGATTGTAACTTACTTGTCTTTCTCAGGAAATCAGAATGGGAGGTGGGTAATGAAATATTCTTTTTGGAAATGGAAGAACCTTAGAATAAAATGTAAATCCAAATTGCCAATACTGGCCTGACGGTAAAGTGGCAAATCTTACCAAGAAAGAGGATTGTGTGCATTACCCTGAGCTGCCACTCATTCATCAAGGGTTTACTGAGCATTTGTTATGTGCCTGGCCCTGTACTGGACCCCGGGGATGGCAGGATAAATCCAATGTGGCTTCTGCCCGTGAGGTTCCATAAGCTTGTGGGGAAGAGGTCTGTCTCAGCAGAAGCTTGTGAGACTATAGAAGGGGCCTCAGGGACATTGGAGGTGCAGAAACTAGCTCTTCCTGGAATGAGAGTAGGGCTAGCTTCCCTGAAGCAGCTGCCCTGGTGCTGGGCCTTAGGAACAGATGGAGGAGGCAGTGTCCCCAGCCAGGCCTCTGTAACAGTGTGGCATTGCGGGAGGGCCTGGTCTGTTATGAGGAGGGTAGGGTGAGACTGGAAAGCCAAACGGGCCAGATTGTATGGAGGTTTTATCTCATGGGCAGCATATGATTTGGCCCAGGAGTGCCATGCCTGGGGTTGTATTTTTAAAAATACAGTAACCATCTCCCCCTGCACTCTCATCTACCCCCCTGCGGATTCTTGGTGATATGTTCCAAGACCCCCAATGAATGCCTGAAACCACAGATGATACTGAACCCTGTATATACTACACACAAATTTCATTTTTCTTCACAATTTCATGGGTAGAAGATTCGTTCTTACCAAAGATCTTAGCAACCTTACCGTTTGTTTTTTTTTTCTTATTGAGACTTTTGCCATTTCACTTAAAGGATGCATTTTTGGCTTCTCTTTGGCATATCTGAATTGCCAGCATCACTACCCTTGCACTTTGGGGCCTTTGTAATAAATAAAGGGTTACTTGAAGACAAGCACTGTGATACTGAGACAGTTGATCTGATAACTGAGTTGGCTACTAAGTAACAGGCTGGTAGCATCCACAGCACTGACACACTAGACAAAGGGATGGCTCGCAATTTTTGTAATGACAAAAATTTCATCACACTACTCAGAGCGACGTGTAGTTTAAAACTTACGACTTGTTTATTTCTGGAATTTTCCATTTAATATTTTTGAACCAGAGGTGACCATGGATAACTGAAATTGCAGAAAGTGAAACGTGGCTAAGGGGTTGCTAGTCCCTTAGTCATCCCCAGGCCCCTCACCAACTCTGCCCTGTATTTCAGATCACCGAAGTGGCCTTGGAGTACAACAACTGTCATGGGGACCAGGTGGTGGAGCGTCTCCTTCGGCACCTGCGGCGGGTGGACGCTCCAGTGCTGGAGTCCCTGGCCCTGGAAGCCCCGGCACAGCTGCCAGACCCGCCGCTGATCACAGCATCCCCCTGCTGCAACACTGTGGTGCTGCCCCAGTGGCACTCCTTCTCCAGGACCCACAACATCTGTGAACTCTGTGTCAACCAGACTGCCGGGGGCATGAAGCCGAGCTCGGTCAGCATGCCACAGTGCAGCTTTTTTGAAATGGCAGCAGCTCTGGATTCTTTCTACCTCAAGGAGCAGACCTTTTATCACGTGGCATCAGACAGCATAGAATGCAGCAATTTTTTAACTTCCTATAGCCCTTTCAGCTACTACACTGCATGTTGCAGGACCATAAGCAGGGGTGTGGCAGGCTTCATCGATTCTGAACAAGGTGTCTTTGAAGCCCCTACCGTTGCATTTTCTTCCCTTGAGAAGAAATGTGAGGTCGATGCCCCAAGCTCCATTCCTCACATTGAGGAGAACAGGTATCTCTTTCCAGGAGTGGACATGACTAGCACAAACTTCACAGGCCTGAGCTGCAGAACCAACAAGACTCTCAACATCTACCTTTTGGATTCAAATTTGTTTTGGTTATACGCAGAGAGACTGGGTGCTCCGAGCTCCACTCAGGTGAAAGAATTTGCGGCAATTGTTGACGTGAAAGAAGAGTCTCACTACATCTTGGATCCAAAGCAAGCGCTGATGAAGCTTACCCTAGGTACTGTAGGCAGTTTATTTCCCCAAGCATTGTACAATTTGCTTGACTTCATATTGGTACATTTTATTGATGGCTCTCATTACATTTAGTTGTGGGGTAATGTCAGCTTCGTAGCTCATTTTAAGTCTTTAGACCACCATCAGTCGTAATTTTCAAAGAAGGTAATTTTGTCTGTTAAATGGAGCAGAAACTTCCTCACTCTAAATTTTGGATAAGTTTGTCATTTAGCCCATGGTGGGGGTAAGAGTCCCACTTTATAAATTGGCGATTTCTGTCACATGTCTAAGGTAGAACCAGCTGCAGGCAGTGAGGACTTGGGGAGTAGAACTGGCAGGGAGGTGGAGAGCCATTCCGGTAGGATGTCCTAGGGGCTGATGAAAGGGAGCCTTGACAGCAGCTTTGTTCTAAAGGAGCTTAAAGAGAAGCAGTGAAGAAGGAAGTAGAGCCATCTTGCCTCCCTTTTTGTCTCACAGGCTTAAATGTCTAAGGATCAAGGCCGCCAGACCTAATTTGTTCTGCTGCTGTTTCATAATGTACTGAGTAATATTGTTGGGACCTGGGGTACCTAGATTGTAACAAGTGTAAAGTGCAAATAAATAAGTGTCAGTTGCAAACCAGCAAACCCCACTTTTTGAGGAGTAAGACTCCATGATGAGAAAGCATCCAGGGCTTGCCCCCGGGGCTTGGCAGCAACATTGGGCTGACCCACACTGGCCTGTTCCCCAGGGCTCTGCTGACGCCCCTGACTACACACAATGAAGTGAGAATTCAAAAGCCACGTTAGTTCAGCCTCATTGGAAACCTGAGGGAGGGTCAGTCTATGCCGAATGGAGAAAGGAGGAATTTGGTAGGGAAGGAAACCTTTCATTTCAAGTTTTACAAAGTATGAAATCAACTGTAGACTCAGAACTTCTACATATGAGTCCTTTTAGCCATGCTCTTTCAAATCCTGGTGAAGCTTGTTTCTTACATTAGACACATTTGTGAAAAGGCTTTATGTAAGTACTGATTTTTCTATATCAATTGCATATTATAAATCCAAGAGTTCTTCAGTGTTTAAAAGAACCTTGTGACCAGTCACTTTTTGGAGGGGATAATCTGTTGATATTACAGATTACTCCCAGTTCATGTTTTCTAAAGTCATTTTGATGTGTTGAGCTTTCTTAAAATGAAACAAGCATTTTTTTAAAAATGGGAAACAGACTCCAGAGAAATGGGGTCAGTGCTCCCACAAGCATGTATTTTTGAGGTAGTCTGTATTAGATTTTCCTGAATTCCATTCAGTAATGCTCAAGTGTTTAATGACCTCATAATGTGTTCACTTTGAATTTAAGGGTAATTGAAAGAAGCCTTCTTTAGATTTCTTTCCATCTTCTGTATCTTCTCTGAAATGTTTAGCCTAGCTGTTCTTTGTCCTGTAGTTGGTGACAGAATTTTTAGGGAGCTTGTAAAAAACACCTACTGTGTGTCATTGTTGGTTTAGAGAGTTAATTCATAAGTCAGCTGTCTCTAGGGCAGTTTCAGAATTTAGGCTTTATTCAGAGTAGGAAATAATTCTTGGTTTCATGTTTCAAAAACATAGCCAGCTAAGTGTTATTCAGATGCTGATCGTGAATTCTCTTTCATATTCACATGACTTTCTTCACTTCCTCCTCCATTCTGCACACTGCATTGCCCCTTGCACCTCAAAATGGAGGGAGTTAGAAGAAAGAAAAAGAACTGAAACTTTAGTTGAGTGCAATAGTGTAAGCCTGTAGTCCCAGCTACTCTGGAGACCGAGTTAGGAGGATCACTTGAGCCCAGGAGTTCAAGGCTACAGTGAGCTGTGATTGCAGCACTGCACTCCAGCCTGGGTGACACAGTGAGACCCTGTCTGTTAAAAAAAAAAAAAAAAAGAAAGTGAAATTCAAATTACTGTTGTTTCAGATGAAGCAAAGGACTCTGAAGATGGCAGAATTTGTGGTAAAACTGTTGGTTCAAGCCAGGTTTTTTCCACTACATATAATTTTTTCTTAACCTTTAAAAAAAGAAACTTAACCTTAATAAAGGAAACAAAAAACTATAGCTCCTTGTCCCCAAACTAATGAACATTTAAACACATTCCACATTACTGTAGCTTGTGCAATTGCTACTTTTGTAGTTAAGCCTAAAGGTTTTAGTATTATAGGGTGAAATTTCTTGAAAAGATTGTGGCTTCTCGGCCGGGCGTGGTGGCTCAAGCCTGTAATCCCAGCACTTTGGGAGGCCGAGACGGGCGGATCACGAGGTCAGGAGATCGAGACCTCCTGGCTAACACGGTGAAACCCCATCTCTACTAAAAAATACAAAAAACTAGCCGGGCGAAGTGGCGGGCGCCTGTGGTCCCAGCTACTCGGGAGGCTGAGGCAGGAGAATGGCGTAAACCCGGGAGGCGGAGCTTGCAGTGAGCTGAGATCCGGCCACTGCACTCGAGCCTGGGCGACAGAGCCAGACTCAGTCTCAAAAAAAAAAAAAAAAAAGAAAAAAAAAAAGAAAAGATTGTGGCTTCTTGACGATTTATACAGTCTCACTTGGTGTCTATTTGTGGACCAGTCCTTTTAAAAAAAGAATGATCTATGAATATTAGAGCATCTAACACTGCATAATGTTTTGATATCTGCATTACTGTCTGCTGAGTTAATACTACCAGAGCTAAACCTGATGCCACCCGGGCAGCTTTGTTTGGGGTTTTGCTGATAGGTGAAATGTTAAAAATGTGAGCCTGTGAAGTCATTCGAGTTTTTAAAATGTGGAGTTTAAAAGTAGGCCAGCTATTCTTCTTGTATCTAGAGAAGAGTTGATCTCATTTTCTCTTTATTTTTAGAGTCTTTTATTCAAAACTTCAGCGTTCTCTATAGTCCCTTGAAAAGGCATCTCATTGGAAGTGACTCTGCCCAGTTCCCGTCTCAGCATTTAATCACTGAAGTGACAACTGATACCTTTTGGGAAGTAGTCCTTCAGAAACAGGTATGGAGTCATGAGAGGCAAAAGTTAAGCCATCTGTCCCTCTTAAAATAATTTCCAGACTGCAGTTGTTGGGGTGAGCAGCTGTTTTTGATGTACAGAAGAGTAACCACATGATGGTCCGATTGTGGACCGTGAATGAATTACATGTGGTTTTTAAATTTCAAAAAAGTGCTTCAGAAAGCACAGAATTGGAAAGACCTAAAGATGAAAATTTTCACTGTAATATTTGCATAGGTAGCATTTATCGAGTGCTTGCTGGATTCTAAGCAATAAGGAAAGAAATGAAGAAGAGCCCATTTCCTGGTGCAAGTAACAGCTGTCTTCCCCTTCCCACAGGATGTTCTCCTGCTCTATTACGCTCCGTGGTGTGGCTTCTGTCCATCCCTCAATCACGTCTTCATCCAGCTAGCTCGGAACCTGCCCATGGACACATTCACTGTGGCAAGGTAAGCAGGCCTTTTCTGCAGTGCTTTGGGCTGTATGCCCATTTTTACTCTTCTTTGCAGCTTAGCCATATGATGTGCGAGGGTCTGCCCATTTTCCATTAACCTTTGGTAGGACTTGGCTGGGTTTAATTGTCAGGTTGAAGCCATGAGCAAAGCCTCTTTGAAACCGGACTTTTCCTCATGAATTCAGAGTGTTCCTTCCATGATGTTGATGTTTAGCCCTGACTAGATTCGTAGGTGGCTGAGTGCAGTTCTGTGGGGAGAGCACTGACCTGGTTGCCAGGATGGCCCCTTGGAATTCCATGGGACAGTTGCCCCAGGCAATGCCAGTGGGTCCTGGGATCCCAAGCAGATCTCTCCACTAGCCCTGGTTTACCTCATTTGTGAAATTAAAAGGAAAGGTCGGTAGATATCCACATTCTAGTATTGTGATTCCATGGGTACTGTATGTGGGCTTTTGAAAAAGTAAAATTTTAAAAAATATTTTTTGGAAAAAGAAGGCTCAAATACAGAGTTTTTAGATGGGGTAGTAAGCAGTTTTGGGTGGGGGAAACTGTTCAAATTTAACCCCCCGCCTCCCCCAAAACCCTACAGATAGATAAGAGTTAAATATGAAAAATCAAAACAAAAAATAGGATTTGCTGGTTCCTCTGAGTGATGGAAAGTTTCGAAAGTGGAAGCAGTTGGAAAAATAAAGAAAGAAAAATGGTCAGATTCCACTAGAAATACGTGCAGTGAAAGAAAACAGGGAAAGCAGACGAAAAGGGGGACCATTAAAAAATTTTGCAGTGTCTGTGTCACCTGTTACATGCACTGTGAGTAATAATCAGAGCCAGATCTGAGAAGTTACTATGCTGGGAGAGTTAGAGTTTTCGATATACATATTACCTGACTGAGTCCTCGTGACGTTTAGTGAAGGCACTCTGGTTAAAAAAAGAAAATGCTATTTGTATTGAGGAGGAAACTGAGGCTTGGAAAGATTAGACAAGTTGCCCAGAGTTTCAACCTGCAAATGAGGGGCCAGGATTGAATCAGGCATTCATACTCCAGCCTCCCCCGAAATTAAAATGGTTTAGGAAACGGCTGAGACAGATTCCATTGTGAACAAAGGACGTGAACAGGTTTTTCTTTTAAGAGGAGAGAGTAAGTAAACATGTGGGGAAATTATAATCTAATAAATGTAAATTAAAACAGTAACAAAGTGTCATTTAACATATTAAAGTAATCAGTGGTTTTAAGTGACAGAATCTTGTGTTGATAAAATAAAATGGAAACTGCAGTCAAATGTATCTAATGGAATGAGTACATTGCCATAACTCTTTTGGAAAGCATTTGGCAACATTTGCAAGAAATCAACAAAAACAGTTAACACATTTTTGACCCAGTTAATTTTACTTTGGAGAAGTAATGGAATAGGAATTCCAAAGAAGCATGAGCTCATCATTATAGCATTGTTTATATCCACCAGGAGATGAATGTTTAAGTAAATTATGGCTGGGCATTTAATGGAGTTTTTATCCTTTAACAATGCTTTTCATACACACAATTAATGGAAAAGAACAGAGTATGCAATATATGACAACTATTCTTAAAAATATGTAAGCATGCCGGGCGCGGTGGCTCACGCCTGTAATCCCAGCACTTTGGGAGGCCGAGGCGGGCGGATCACAAGGTCAGGAGATCGAGACCATCCTGGCTAACACGGTGAAACCCCGTCTCTACTAAAAATACAAAAAATTAGCCGGGCGCGGTGGCGGGCACCTGTAGTCCAGCTACTCAGGAGGCTGAGGCAGGAGAATGGCGTGAACCTGGGAGGCGGAGCTTTCAGTGAGCCGAAATTGCGCCACTGCACTCCAGCCTGGGGCACAGAGCGAGACTCCGTCTCAAAAAAAAAAAAATGTAAGCATATAGGCCGGGCACGGTGGCTCATGCCTCTAATCCCAGCACGTTGGGAGGCCGAGGTGGGCGGATCACATGAGGCCAGGAGTTTGAGACCAGCCTGGCCAACATAGTGAAACCCTGTCTCTACTAAAAATACAAAAATTAGCCAGGTGTGGCAGCACGTGCCTGTAGTCCCAGCTACTCAGAAGGCTGAGGCAGGAGAATCACTTGAATCCACCAGGCGGAGGCTGCAGTGAGCCAAGATCACACCACTGCATTCCAGCCTGGGTGACAGAGCAAGACTCTGTCTCAGAAAAAATTTTAAAAAGTAAGCATATAGACCAAGCCTGCATAAGAAAGGGGGGCCTGATTAGCCCAGTGGAATTCTGAGTGGATTTTTACAGTATTTTAATTTTATAGTTTGTGCTTTCTTCGAAGTAAAAATCAGGTGAGAAAAAGCATTTAATTATGGAATATAGTGTTCTATACCACTTGTTTAGAAAGGAACACTAATGTTTTAGGTAGGCTGGCACAGGTGAGGCAGGAGTGTGCTGTTTTGTTAGTAAACTTTTGGTAAATGGTTTTCATTTGGTTATGCGTTTTGTTGTTGTTTTTTTGAGACAGGGTCTCACTCTGTTGCCTAGGCCAGAGTGCAGTGGTGCAGTCACAGCTCACTGCAGCCCCAACCTCCCAGGTTCAGGTGATTCTCCCACCTTCCCAAGTAGCTGAACTATAGGCATGTGCCAGGATACCCGGCCAATGTTTTGTAGAGACAGGGTTTCGCCATGTTGCCCAGGCTGGTGTCCAACTCCTGGGCTCAAACAATCCACCCACCTCGGCCCCCCAAAGTGCTGGGTTTACAGGCGTGAGCCACTGTGCCCAGCCTGGTTGTGCCATTTTTGAAAAAGGAAATTTCATCGTTTTGGACAAATACATGGCACTTACCCCACCCTCACTTCCCCCAGTTATGCTTTCTAAAACCTTCTGTCAAAGTAATGATTGAAAACATGTTCATCTTTTGTGTGCACTGTTTATGAATAGTAGCTGAGTAGCCCCTCCGCAAGGAGGATGCAGCCCCTTCCATCAAGGATGCTGTTGTGGCCCCATGTCTGCTTGGCCTGAGTGTGGGCGCCCAGCTGTGTGCCCAGCTCTGTGCCAGCTGCCCAGGGCAGGCCTCTAGAGCAGTTGCAGTTAGCTCCCACAGTGATTGAGCACAGGCTGGGTGAGTTAGTACACATGTCACTTTCTCTGTTAGAAAATTAATGTCAAATCTGCTAAGAAAATAGGCTGTTTTTGGCCTCTATCCAGATTTACAACATAAAGAGGGTATAATTTTCCATCTTCAGAGAGGCTTGATGTATTTTGCTCAATTATTTCCTTTCTTTTCCCAGAGCTATTCAGGGATTAAAATACTTGGCTAGATCCTGTCAGGTGAGGAGTGAACGACTCCCTAGGTGTCAGTGTGGCATTTTCTGCAAGTTCATTTTTACTTTCAGGACATTGCATTGCCACTCAGTGGAAAGCGTCCACATAGCGTAATGTTGCATGTCTTGGGAGTACCAGCGCCCAGCTCACACCTGGTAGTATACTCATCGAGAAGGGGCTACCCCAATGTGGGGTGTAAAAAATGCACCAGGCTCTTGAAGTTATCTGAGAAGGTTCTTTCAAGTTGGCGTTTCTTGGGCTGATCTTCTGCCATTTCTCTTCTTCCCCTTTGCCAGGATTGACGTGTCTCAGAATGACCTTCCTTGGGAATTTATGGTTGATCGTCTTCCTACTGTCTTGTTTTTTCCCTGCAACAGGTAATGCCGTATTTTTTTCACTAGTGGGCAGTTGGGATTCTTTTGTGGAGGTCTGAAATTGAAATGGGTTTAAGATGTAAATCATTCATTATGTTCAAAAAATGTTCCCTTGGGAACCAGGCGCGGTGGCTCACGCCTGTAATGCCAGCACTTTGGGAGGTTGAGGCAGGCAGATTGCTTGAGCTCAAGAAGTTGAGACCAGCCTGGCCAACATGGTGAAACCCGTCACTACAAAAAATACAAAAATTAGCCAGGCATGGTGACATATGCTTATAATCCCAGCTACTCTGAGGCTGAGGCACGAGAATCTCTTGAACCTGGGATGCAGAGGTTGCAGTGAGCCAAGATCACACCACTGCACTCCAGCCTGGAAGACAGAACAAGGCTCCGTCTCCAAAAAAAAAAAGTGTCCTTAGGGGCATAGACTAAAAGGGTTGTAGTGTCAGGATGTTATGTGTGGTATGGATCTTTTAAAGGTGGTTCTTCTCACAGCCTATCTCTTACCAAGCTTGAATGTGGCTGTGAGAATTCTTAGCTTTTCATGGCCTATGTGAACATATGGAGGACGCAGAGACTGACAGGAAAAAAAGGCCCCATGTTTGTGTGGGGTAAAACAGCAGAGAATCTGTGGAGCTCTGCCTGCCCCAAGCCTTCCACATGCTTGTCTGTCAGTTGGCCTCCCAGCAGCTCCTCATCCCTCTCGTACAGAGGATAGGGTGGCTTTCTTACCCGTGGCACATCCTTGCCTCGGATTCCAGGAGCCCTGCAAAGGGGCTTTCTCCCGTGCATGCAGACTGCTGTGAACGTCTGCCATGAGGTTGTCGCTTGATTTTTTCACGCTTGCCTAATCAGTATTCCAGGCACAGTTCTTAACAGCAACTACCCCGAAAGCCCCGGCAAGCAGGACATGAACAAGGGGGAGCGGACTTCCATTTAGTGAACGTAGATGTAGATGCTTTAGTGGAAAAAGAAATTAACTCTTGGTCCTTTAGAGCCTAATACACTGGATGTTTGCTCCCTTTTTATAGGTTCCCTTTGGTTTTTAGAAAGTTTAGTCCTTTTGGGGACCCACTCACATGGCTTTGACAATATCTTCTCCCCAGGGAAAGTGTCTGTAGCATCATTTAGGGAGTTCCCTGGCTCGCATGTATGACGTTTGCTGTTTTAATTTCCTGCCTCCCTTTTGCGATTCAGCTTGTCATGTTTCTCTAGGAGAGTGTTTCCTTCGTATCTATTGAATCATTCCCTTGGTTTTTGCTTTGTATCTCAAAGAATTTTTGCTGGAATACTTCTGTGGTAGTAGGGTCTTGTCATGCACTAAAAACAGAATGTGACTCACCCTTTCTACTGCCGACTGAGTTGTGATGAGGCTTTTTCTTTCTAAGAAGTGTTTAAATTACCACATAGTCCAGGAATCATGGATATTAACACTAACAGTTTCATCTGTGTGGGACAGGAGTTGAGCATGTAGTTTAATGACGTATAATTTTTGAATTCCAAGCATAGTTTGAAAAAATATTAAAATCTTGGCCGGGCGCGGTGGCTCAAGCCTGTAATCCCAGCACTTTGGGAGGCCAAGACGGGAGGATCACAAGGTCAGGAGATCGAGACCATCCTGGCTAACACGGTGAAACCCCGTCTCTACTAAAAAATACAAAAAACTAGCCGGGCGAGGTGGCGGGCGCCTGCAGTCCCAGCTACTCGGGAGGCTGAGGCAGGAGAATGGTGTAAACCTGGGAGGCGGAGCTTGCAGTGAGCTGAGATCCGGCCACTGCACTCGAGCCTGGGCCACAGAGCCAGACTCCGTCTCAAAAAAAAAAAAAAAGAAAGAAAAAATATTAAAATCTTAGCACCCAGCACATGCCTTTTAATCAAGAAGTTCTCAGCAGCTGGCAGAAATGCATCTGTGTAGAGAGACATAGGCGGAACAGGTGGCAGGGCGGGGCATCATCTGGAGACCTGTGTCTGGGCTGAGTGACCTTCGTTCTTAGCCTGCCTGCTGTGGGAAACGTGCAGATGAGCGCATTTCTCCGGCCCCAGGCTGGGTACTTGCTGCAGCCCTCACCCTTGTCGTTTCTAAATCTCGAACATAAGAAGGCTGTCCACTTCTCTTTTAATGTAAGGAGGTTGGTAAACCAAAGCTTTATGGCTTTGGAATGGAATTTTTCTCATTTCCTAAAAAGAAATGGTAGAAGTAAAGTATGCTCATCATGAGCTGGTCCCAAGCGAATGTTTGGTTTAGCCAGAAGGTAAATGGGCAAACAGCGTGAGCTGACAGCTTGCAAAAGAGGAAATGGAAAAGGCTGTTTGATAACATGTAATAAGACCTTTTTCACTGTCCACCTGCTTATGCTATTTTTAGTGAAAAGAACATGAAATTGTATATTTACTGTGATAAAATAGAAACTAATGCTGTGTGGAGATGCTCACAGAGGGGAAAGTGTTGAGGTGTTAACATTGATGACTTCAGAGGAGTGAGATTGCAAATGATTTGAAGGTGCTGCTTGTATGTTTTTACATCTCTTGCAAATTGTCTACAAAGAGCATGTCCTGTTTTATAAAAATCATGAAGGAAAAAAATACAAGAGCTGTCCTCGGGAGGAAGAGGAAGGGGTGGGGCCTTGAGGGAGACATAGCCTTCCTGTGCAGAGGCGTCTCGGAGCCACTTGCTCCACCAAGCAGGTGCTCCTCCAGCCAGCACTTGCATCAGACTCTGTGTGACATTTCAAAATATAGGTGCTCTGACCTAGCCCTGGGCCAGGTGATGAAGGGGAGATGGGTGCCCCTGTCCACCAAGAGACTCTGATGTGTCCCAGGGGAAGAATCACACTTTTTTAGCGGTGTACCCTGCCACTCCCTCAGGGTTAGAGGAGAGTTGCATAGACATGGGGACCTCTTCCCACCAAACTTTCACATGACTGCTTTCCTGGTGGTAGACTGTTGACATTCTGTGTCCCTCTACTTTCCCAAAGTGTGGCAGCATTTTAGCATGCCCATTAGGGACATTCATGGAGAGTGCACCAAGACTTCTTAGTTAGCAGAGAGCATGCTCACAAATGTCATGTCCTGTATATGCCTGGAGGTAGATACCCTGAGGGACCTTGGCAGCTTTTTCTGGGGAGTAATTCACCTTTACTCCGCCTTATAAGACCAGGCTTGTGCCGCAGAACATGAGGGCAGGTCCAGCATCTAGTATTTTTCCACGGGCCCACTTGACAGGGCCACGATATGTTTTCAGTTGTTGTGGGGTTTTATTTTCTGTTTTTGAGACAAGGTCTGACTCTGTTGCCCAGGCTGGAGTGCAGTGGTGTGATTATGGCTCACTGCAGCCTTGAACTCCTGGGCTCAAGTGATCCCACCACCTCAGGCTCCCAAGTAGCTGGATCTACAGGCGTGTGCCACCTTGCCTGGCTGATTTTTTTATTTTATTGTTTATACAGATGAGGCCTTACTATATTGTCCAGGCTGGTCTCAAACTCCTGGCCTCAAGTGATCCTCCCGCCTCAGCCTCCCAAAGCACTGGGATTACAGGCACACAGCACCACACCCAGCTTTGTCATTTGAATGGCTGGGATGCCTCACTTGAAGAAAGCTTGTATGTTAAGAAAACTAAGCTTTAAAGGAGGGAATGGTTGAATGCTTACCCCAAAATTATAAAACAATTTACGGCCAGGTGCAGTGGCCCTGGGCAGCCAGGCTCTGGAGTCCCTGCTGTTGACTTCCATTCTGTTAATACCTGAGGGAGACAAACCCGGCTGCTGCCAGCCCACCTCATACCTAAGTGCATAAAGCTGGTAGTTTTGATCGATTGCAGCAAGACTGTACAGGCACAGGTAAATAGATATGTGAGACAAACATCATCAGATGATTAAATGACAAGTTCTGAAGAGGAATTTTCTAGATCTCTAGATCAGGACCTGGAACAAAGCTGTATGAAAAACCCCTTCCTATGTCACCTTCCTTCCTTGTTCTGTGCTCTCAGGGCCGGGCAGCCTGAATTCATAGTCCCTTGGTTGGGCTGTTTGCCAGGTATCAGGTTGCCAGGTATGAGCCAGATGTACCCGGGGAGTGGGGGTACAATCACCCCCAGTTGAGAACCCCTGCCTTAGATAATGTGTAATAAATGCTTGCTGAAGAAACTGAGTATTTTTTTTTTTTTTTTTTTTAAGATGGAGTCTCGCTCTGTGGCCCAGGCTGGAGTGCAGTGGCCGGATCTCAGCTCACTGCAAGCTCCGCCTCCCGGGTTCACGCCATTCTCCTGCCTCAGCCTCCCGAGTAGCTGGGACTACAGGCGCCCGCCACGGCGCCCGGCTAGTTTTTTGTATTTTTTAGTAGAGACGGGGTTTCACCGTGTTAGCCAGGATGGTCTCGATCTCCTGACCTTGTGATCCGCCCGTCTCGGCCTCCCAAACTGCTGGGATTACAGGCTTGAGCCACCGCGCCCGGCCGAAACCGAGTATCTTTGAAGTTCTTCCTATTTCTCTGGGCACTGTCAGTAGGCACAAGAGGGACATAGGTGGGACAATCCTGCTTCCCCGGGACACTCTTCCTGACACAGCCGCTGGGCATCTCCCAGCACACAGAGGCCCCATGCCCACACACTCCTGGGGCCCTGCATCACTGGCTTTAGGCCTGGGCCTAGGAGCTCTTGTCTTTCTTGGAAGGTGTGGGTGAAGCTGAGCTCTGGCTTCAGGAACAGATAAGCCATCTTAATTGCAGAACGAGCATATGGGACAGCCTCAGCTTTGTAGAGAATTTCTTGCCCAGGCAACATTTTCCTCACTTTCAGTAAGTAAAATCCACAGAATGTCTTTTCTTGGTGAGAAGTAGATGGCCTGGCCTCAGGTAGTCTGCTTTTGGACTAATTGTGTTGGTATGACTCCCGTCTTTGCTTCCTTTCCCTTTCTCTCCAGAAAGGACCTAAGTGTGAAATACCCTGAAGACCTCCCCATCACCCTTCCAAACCTGTTGAAGTTCATTTTGCATCACTCAGATCCTGCTTCCAGCCCCCAGAACATGGCTAACTCTCCTACCAAGGAGTGTCTTCAGAGCGAGGCAGTCTTACAGCGGGGGCACATCTCCCACTTGGAGAGAGAGATCCAGAAACTGAGAGCAGAAATAAGCAGCCTCCAGCGAGCACAAGTGCAGGTAGAGTCCCAGCTCTCCAGCGCCCGCAGAGATGAGCACCGGCTGCGGCGGCAGCAGCGGGCCCTGGAGGAGCAGCACAGCCTGCTCCGCGCCCACAGTGAGCAGCTGCAGGCCCTCTACGAGCAGAAGACACGCGAGCTGCAGGAGCTGGCCCGCAAGCTACAGGAGCTGGCCGATGCCTCGGAAAACCTCCTCACCGAGAACACATGGCTCAAGATCCTGGTGGCGACCATGGAGAGGAAACTGGAAGGCAGGGATGGAGCTGAAAGCCTGGCGACCCGGAAAGAGGTCCGCCCCAAGCAGCCGGAGCCCTCAGGCACCCCCCAGCTCCCTGGCAGTTCCCCTCCACCTGCCAACGTCAGTGCCACACTGGTGTCTGAAAGGAATAACGAGAACAGGACAGACTAACTTTTTAAATGACGTGAAGAAATCAGAGGTGAAAATTGTACATTGGGAATATATTTATGCAAATTTTATTGAAATTTATTGTAAATAAAGATTTTCTCAGTGGTCTAGAAAATCAACTTGAATGTCATTCAGCATTTATTGAAGAGAGATGACATCCCTTCCACTTATTGCACAAACTTGGTAGCTTTGAAACAAAAACAGTAGCACAGTCCGTTTGAAGATTTGTCCAAAAAATTAGTCCATATTTTAGTGGCTCAGTGTCAAGAGTTCCCTCCCTGTCCCCCCACTGTTGCTTCTGCAGTGATACGAAGGATGAACGCTTAATTTCTTGATTAGTCAGAAAACTTGAATGCAACAGTTGGGCATTCAGAAATAATTCAAAGAGAGGTCATAACCTACTAAGCCATTTCAATGTGGCTCTGGTGTCTATGCTAAAAAAAAAGCTATTGAAAAATAAGAACAGTGAGAGCTATGATGTGGTTCACTGGTTGTACAGCCATTTTCATTTTCCTCCTGAAAACCCCCCCAGTGCCTCACTGAGCCCCTGACCTTCACCCAACATGGCTACCACGCTCAAATGGGCCTGATTCAAACTCCCAGGTACATCCCTGCCACCAGGGAGTGGGATCAGAAAACCTCCAGAAGTGAAACTGATGAGAAAGTGACATTTAATCACTTCAAAACTGAAACTTCACTGGCAAGGTCAAAACCATAGGCCAAGTCTGACAATCGAGCACTGGTCAGTTCCAGGGGTCAGGCTCGGAACCTGAAAATGCAGATCCTAGCTGCTCCTGTGTCCCTCGGGTGTGGAGGAAAGAAAAACAGCCTAGGTGTATGTGCTGGCTGCGGTGAGAGTCGAGGTAGAAAGCCTGGAAGTTCTGAAACGTGAGGGGATGGATCACACACCCAGCCTTTTCTCACTCACCAAAGCAAACCTTTTCCCCCATCTTCCAGTCGGCACCTTTGGAACTTCTGTTCTCCCTCCTAGACCTAGTTTCAGTGGCCGCAACCACACGTCCTGCCTACCCAGCCTGCAGGGCTTCTGCTGACATCACGCCTGCCCCGCCACCACCTCCTCTGAACTTGGCCACACCAGAGTAGCCAGAGGTGTTGCTTCTCCTGCTTCCTAAGGAATCTCAAGAGCCCAACTGAGGTGTTTCATTACTACCTTCTGCTCAGATGGCCCAGCCAGCCGTCCCTCTTCCCACCCCAAGCTCCTACTTAAATGTTTAAACCCCCAATTTAGGTGTATGCTGCTTAAACAAAGTCCTCCCTACTTCTCCCGCCCTCGGGGTTCCAGAACATGGATTCATTCAACACGTATTTTAGAAGAGGCTTAGGTGAGGCCAGAGGAGGTGCCTTCAGTCTGAGCAGGAAGCCAGAGCTCTGAGCTCAGGCATTAAGGGCCAGTGCTCTGTGGTTAAGCCCAGGCTGACCTTCCATCTATTACAGGGATGGCCGGCACGAGTCATGTTTGAATCATAAATAAAATTAGTATGTGCTTATGGTGGTGGGATTAAAAATCGAAGTGAGCTCACTCACTGAAGTGTACACAAGGGAGGCCTTGAAGACAGGCTGTGGAGATGCTAGCTCACCCGAGAGCCACCTGTGGGACAGACAAGTCCTGAACTTAAAGTTCACCTCTGCCCTGCCCCGACTCCCTGCCGCAAGCACAGGCTGGCAGGAAGCAGTCTGGTGGCTCTTGTGGGAATGTGCACGCAAGAAATGTTCCCTGGGTCCTAAGTGCCTTCAGAGCTGGGTCAGGGGACTGGAGACCCACTGAGGAAAGTGAAGTTAGGACCCCACAGGCAGGCAGTCATCAGAGAGGAAAGGAAGCCAAGTGGTGTAAAAAGGTAAGAGGAAAAAAAGAAAAAAGACAGAACCTCAACAGTCCCTTCCCCTCCAGTGCAGAAAATAGGAAATACCAATACAAAACATACAACCTTTTCTCTTTGCTAGGCCAGCTGGGTTTCAGACCAAAAGTAGCCACCACAGGTTCTACGAGGACCAGAGCAATTTCAGCGAAGCCTGCACTCAGGATGGGGGACTCGGCATGCTGAAGACCAAAGCGGCAAGAAACTGCTCTGCTACAAGGACGCTGGCAGCCTCTGGGACACGTGCCCTGACTCGCCCTTCACTGGCTCCCAGGCAGGTCCAGTAGCTTCCCTGCAGTAACTCCACTCAACAAAACTGCTATTTAACAAGTGAGTCTATCTGGAGAAAGAACAGAGGGGTGTGGGGGGTGTGGTTCTTCTTCCACCCATGACTAACCAAGCAGAGATCACCCAAGCACCCCAACTGGTCAGCCACGAGACCCCAAACTGGCATCTCATTTCCTTGATATACACACAGACGGACACACATGAGAGACCCTTGCCGAGTGCGGCGTGGGCCTTTACAAGCCTATGACCCTCCGGGGTCTTGACTCAGCTTGTCATTAGTACAGCCAGAATCAAACCAGTCCTGTGTGCGCTAGATGATATTTTTAAAAATCAGCAAAAGGGCTTAAGCACGTGCTTCCAGGGGCCTATTTACAGTTCACAGGTTTGTTAGTTCACGCATTACAGTAGTAGCTCCATCAAAAACAGGCTCAGCTAGACATTCAAGTAACAAAAGCGCTACAGGGCCATGAGACCCAGCAAGGTCAGGCCTGCCCAGTGCCTGCAATGGGCAGCCTCACCCGGAGGCCGAGGCGAAGCCCAGGACAGCCAGGTCCCCGGGCATCAGTGCATGCGATGATGAAGCCCGCAGAGGCCATGCCAGCAAGTGTCAGCCCTTCCTCTCAGACAGCAGCGCGTCCATGTGGTTTTGCCCCTCCCAGCGCCTCTCGGCCGGCTGCAAACAGGACCAGGAGCCTCGCATCCTGGCTCAGCCGTGGACTTCCGGGCCGTTGGGAGTCATCAGCTTGGCCTTTCTCTCCACGCACGGTCCCTTGGCCGAATACTGCACCAGCAGGAAGGGTTCCTTGGTCTCCCCATCCCCCACGATGCTCTCCTCGTCCTCTGACTGACTGATGCGCTGCAGCCGCAGGTAGCACCAGCAGCCCAGGATCAAGGCCCCCAGGGCCGCGATGGCAATGAGGATGACGATGACTGTGACCACGCCCGTGGTGGGGCTGTGGTCCATAATAGACATGGTCAGTGCTGGGGGCTTCCTCGGATGGAAGCGCTTTGGGGGTGGCCACTCAGTGAGGCTGGAACTCAGGCTGGACACGGGAGTCCTGAAAGACAAAGCAGGTTGAACGAGCTGCGGTTGGCACTAACACGTGGTCTATGTTTAATTGTTCTCAGACCTGCCCGTCCCACCCTCACCCTGCCAAAAAGCATATTGGCCGGTGTTCGAAGGTGTCTGCTTGCCCGTCCTCACCCAGCTCCTGCTCATGACGTTTGAAACCCCAAGAGTGCTGCTGTACCAGGCAGGCGAGTCACCCTCGCTGGCTGCAGAACACTGTGACAGTGACAGTTGCAGCAAAGAATGCCAGAGGGCCAGGCACGGTTCAGGTTCTTCTGCTGAAGGTACGCCTTTGGGAAGCCCAGCCCCCCACTCAGTGTTCATGACCACTCAGGGACTGAGGGGAGCCAGGGCCTCCTAATGGCCAGAGATGGGGGTTTGAAAGCAGAGAAATGGCCAGGCGCAGTGGCTCATGCCTGTAATTCCAGCACTTTAGGAGGCTGAGGCGGGCAGATCACTTGAGCCCAGGAGTTTAAGACCAGCCTGGCCAACATAGTGAAACCGCGTATCTACTAAAATACAAAAATTAGCTGGGCATGGTGGCACATGCCTGTAATCCCAGTTACTTGGGAGGCTGAGGCATGAGAATTACTTGAAGCTGGGAGGCAGACGTTGCAGTGAGCCGAGATCACGCCACTGCACTCTAGCCCTCCAGCCTGGGCAACAAGAGCAAGAGTATCTCCAAAAAAAAAACAAAAAAGAAATGACATCAGCCCCTCTCCCAAACAGGCATCGTATACGGAACAGGCAGGTCCTTTGGGGACACCTGTGAGAGGGTATAGTGGACAACAGCCTTTGTCACCAGACACTGCAGCTGGCCTGGGAAGACCCCTGGAACGCGGCACACCATCTGAGAAAGAAGCTGGGCGGCAGAGTCCCTTGTGTGGTTTGGACGGAGGCCAACCAAGCAAGCAACAGGGTAGAGTGTCCTGGGAGATGAAGACAGGCACTTGGGAGAGTTTCAGGGAGGCAGGGAGGGTGGGACAGAGGCTCCCTCCCTGATGGTGCTTAGCATCTAGTGCGGGAGCCAGACTGCAACTGGTTAGTACCCCAAATGCCCGTCACTCGCAATGCAGGGTGCCATTGTCAGGAACACAGTGACCAGATGCCAAGATGCTAACTTGGGTGGGCAGGTGAGAGGCAGGGAGGTGGTGCTGATGGGGAAGAGTGTTCCTGGCAGGGAGCACAGTGAGGGCTAAGGCTCTGAAGGCGGAGAGGGTCCCCCCGCAAGTGCCAGGAGTCGGGGCACCAGCTGATTTGGGTGGGGGCGGGGACGAGGCCCCTCCCAGGCCAGGCCAAGCCTGTGCTCCGCATATTGAAGGAATGATGCCAGAAGTTGGAGGGCTGGGACCACCATCTCCACCTGGCCAAGCCACGGAGTTCACCCGGGGGTGGTCCTGCTGAGTGGCTGAGGACAGTGTGGCTGTGGAACGCACATAAGGTCTAAGAGTCCCCGGCTCCAGGCGCCCTGTCAGCCCTCTAGGTGACACCCAAGGCACAGCCAGTGAGACTGCTGAGGCCAGGGCTTTGCCTCTGCTGCCCCGCAGTGCTGATGCTGGCAGGTTCTCTGGCCCGCACTTTCTTCCCTCTCCTGCCTCACTCGCCACAAACAGAGCAAACGCTTACTGCGCCCAGGGTCAGGGAGGATGGGGACAGGCCGGGGACGCGTTCCGCACAGGACTGGGCGTGCGGTCGGCACTCAGAATGAGACGTCTGGCTTCTTTTTGTTCCCTTTGGATAAGATTGACATCAGCGCAGGCAGACGGCACTGGAAGATTTTCCCTCCAAACAGGGTCAAACCTGCTGCGTCCTTGAGGAACAGCAGCCTTAAGGAGAAATGATTCTTACCCAACCAGGAGGTTCCCCAGAAGCGAGGTTTGC